TACCTATGTGCCTACGTATACCGTTGTGATTGATTGTGATTGTGGTTCCTCTTTACAGAGAGGTTATTCTGTTTCCTGTGCTGGGGAAGCTGCAACTTAGCAACAAAGCAACAACCCCAGATAAGGTCTTGTAGGATAATCTATTCTGTGGGCAAGATCATGTAGCTCAAGAGTATCGGTCGTGGCTCGGAATTGGGCGACAATGGCGCTAGGGCCTTACAAAGTGAGCTAATGACGGCTAATGTGAGCTAATGGACGAGATACCTGAAACACGTTCCATGGCACGCAGGTGGATTAGGCGTAGTGGCTAATTCAAATACGCGCGGGTGGTGAGCCATGGAGCAAGCGAGTTCAGTAAACCCGTCCGGGTACGCCCCTTCCTTGTTTCAAGGGTAAGAAAGGTGATCCTTGGTGAGGACATTTTTTTCATTATCAATGAGTTCGGCGTCCACGTTCTCATTATAGCCTCCTGTTACTCCCCACCCCAATCCGATCTGGAGTTGTTGCTTCAAAGGCAGGGTCTATAATCGAACTAACTTGTCATTGCGCTTGTAAGTGACAGTAAGGACGTGAAGTGTTACGGGTGTCCTCCAGAGGCCCGTCGCGCGGCGGAAGGAAGAGACGCAGACGCGGCAAAGGACGAGTCGCAGCGCACTGTAGCGGTTAGGCGTCAGGTTAAATAGAGTGTATACTACGTCTCATATCGCACAGCACGCGCTGCGACTCGTCCTTTGCCGCATCTGCGTCTCTTCCTTCGCCGCGCGACGGGCCTCTTGGGGGACACCCAAGTGTAACGTCGGAAAATGAAAAAAATGGGAAAGAAATCGTGACAGGGACGACAATGAAGCCTCCCTCCTTTAGTGCTGAAGCGAACAAGTATTGATTTGGGGCAGGTCTATGGTGATGGGCGTAGTATAAGATGAATCCGTGAGCCTTAGCGCTTTGACCTTATTAAGTAGTAGCGCTAAGCTAGCACTCGCTCCGCGCTAGCGTTTCACTTCAAATTTCTCGCACAAGACCTTCATTTCGTCCAGAAATCCCGCACTTTGTCTCTAAGATCGTGGAGGTGTTAAATGCATCAGTAAAAGAAGTGAGAGTGAAAACGAAAGAATCTTAAGGGAATCGTAGCCGTTTTCAGACGTCGCGTCTGCTAGAAACCGTCAACCCAAATAAATGTTCCACGTTGGCAAACCCAGCCCTCTCGCAGAGAAATTGCTCTGAAGCATTGTTCAGCTCTCTTCCTACACGCGAGTAACATTGCACTTGTTTCTAATTATGACGCTTCCCATTAGAATCCTCCAATTGTAGGAAGTATATATGCCGACAAGTGTAACATAAACAATGCCCTGCTGTGCTGCGTTGCATCAGCTGGGATTTCTCGATCCTGGCACATTTTCTCCATATCTACTTTCCAATACGCCTTTGAAAATCCCTCATCGTATCTTCCATCTATATCTTGTTCAAGCCTATCGCAAGAACGGGGGAATTGGGGGTGCAACCAATTTTCAAAACGCAGCAAAACTCCCTTGCTAAATGCAGCTGCCTCACGAAAGATGAAGAACTCCAGAGTGCGGAGCCCATTTCCTCTACCCAGAAGTTCCCGCTCCACTGACGTAGTGCATGAAATGCCCCTTATGTTGCAATAGCGTCCTAGCTATCTCTAATCTGTTTAGGTTTTGAATAATAAAATATTATTGATTTTGTATATAGTTGAGTCATTCAGTTTGTAAAACCAAAAGTTGTTTTTGGATCTCTATATTTCGTTTATGTATTTTTGCCAAAATTTTATTCAGGGGGTAAATATAACAATAATCTTACTCTTTGAGCATATAGCACGGAAAATCGTTTCGCTCAACCATCCTCTTTTTGACTATTAATCTTTCCTCGAAATGCAAAATCAACAAATAACCACCGCGGCATCCGCACGTTTGAACTGATTTCGGCACGATGACTGTACTGCTTCTTGTCCGAGAAAACGATCTTCTTGACTGACTGACTGCGACCTGGAAAAATCCAAACAAAAAACCTCGAAAAATATGTCGCGCGTATGCGGAACTGAATAGATGGCATGAGTGCCGGCTGCGCGCACAAAGACCTGATTAACTTTTGAAATTTTCTTCCATATTTTGCCCTTTTCTAGTGAAAGGTATGAATCGTCCATGTTCGCCTTCTTGCGACGTTGCAATCATGAGTTATGGAATACTTTCCCCAAGCTTTTCAAGGAATCGAACATTTTATAGGCTACGTTTTGGCTTCTCACTCCCCAGTCCTTAACTCCTCCGCTACGACAAGAGACTGACCAACCTTACATTCTCGACAAATGAGTAATTTTGGAGTATCTCACCGTACTTTAACCTACATTCTCCGTCACTATTGCATCCCACGAACCAGTGTAATAAAGTTTCCTTTCATATTTTTTTGACGATAGTTTCTCATTTTCAGCCATATTTAACTTCTTACCTACATACATACATGAACATTAGGTACTTCACAGGGCAAGTCCCAATGAAAAAACAAATAAAGACTTCTCGTCCCCCATCCTTTCGGGGAGGATTGCGTATGACCCTCAGTGAATCATTCGCTATTCGGATAATATAAGCAACACATAACAAACTATCTTTTCCGGGCTACTTTCTTTCCACGAAAGTTCTTTTGTAGTCGCTTTTTCCAGAAATGAGGCATATCCTGGTCTTCCTAGCTTGTGTCACCGCTTCTCACGCGTGTACATGTGCTCCCTTCTCGTCGCTGGAGGAAGAATTTTGTTTTTCTGATTTTGGTGAGATTGGTCAGGCTGTTTATCTACTTTTAATGAAGAGCTCGTGCTCAAGAGAAGATAAATCCGTAGATCCGTCATCGACCCTTCTACATCAGCACTTCGTGACAAGGAGTAGAGAATGGCTGGCTTCCGCCAAGCCAAACTACAGGCAAACTTCTTACGCAGAAGTTTTCTAAATAGATATTTTAAATTTCGACGCTGCATTATTGTCATGCCGAAAGAACCGCGATTGGGTCAAGATCGACGTTAAAATCTACCAGGAAAAGTTTCTATACGATATCGATACGGCTCTCTCCGTGACAGTACTGAACTCCAACAAAGGTCGCGTAGCATTGTTCAGCAGGACAAGGCCGGTTTATACCACGGAATCCACACTCCAGCACTTCGAGGGCCATTTTTGACGCAATTCTCAACATATATCTAACCACCAAGCCGCCACTGAGTAAAGAGGCAAAGAGAGTGGGCAAAATCGTTTCGATTGAGGTCCTCCCTTTACTTGACCCATCTTGGCAATTTTACAAGCTCAGCAAAGAGGACGGGAGATCGTAGAGCTAATCAAAATAGGAACAACTCCAATGGCGTCAAGCCAGGGCGGAGCCACGGGGTTGGAGTGGAGTCAAGGATTCCTTGGTGGTTCTGTTCTTATCATATTCTTGCCGCAAGCTTTCCACAACCAATGCCCCTGCTAACCAGTCTACCTTCCTTGAAGCGGAAATTTCAGTAAACGTGGAATGTGCCTCTAAAGAAGAGTACTTTCAGTGTCGCATGTGAACGTGACAGGAAGAATCGAGCCCAACTCTACTGATTTCCAATTCTTTTACATCTACTCTGTCCAACATATTCGGATATACCGAGTAGGTTTTACAACTGTCATACCTTTATTGAATTCACCTTGGCAACTGAGACTGCTCTCATACCGTAGACTAGGAAACGCCTGTACCTGGAAAAGAGGATGCCTCAGCGAACACGGTTGATGCCCATCTCACATTAAGAGCTATTTGCGTGTTTCGAAAAACAGGTCAACCGCTCGTTGGTCAAGTTTGGGGTTCGTAATTTTTTTTACGGAGGAGAGGTAGGGAACTGGGTCATAAACATTTTAAAAAGGTACCAGCGCTAGGGTTGACCCTGACACGGAAGGGAGGGCCATGAGAATGACTACAAGAGTCGGTGAATCTCGCCGTTCCTAGCACCTGACTCTTTGGCACATTCGGGTGAAGCTCGAAGCAAACGTTGAGTTTCAGAATCCGTCTAATACAACCGAACTATCGGACAGATGCTATAACCGCGCACCAGTCGGCAGCCTTGTGGGATAGAACTCAAATGGCACCGAATATCTTCTTGGAGGTGAGTTATTCCGATGGCATTTGACAAATATTGTAAACCTTTACCATAATAAGATTATTTAAAGATTATTAACCTCCAGCATATCATCGGCTTGAGGTTTCACTCTCTTCCGATCGGGGTAAAGCGCTGGCCGCTTTGGATTTCAGTAGACTTAGTCTCATAGGTTTGGGACTTTATACCTCTGGTTGACCTTCTCGTTGCTTATAGGCGGATTTTACGATAAAAAAGCGGCCCATTGGAAATCCAGTTAGAAAGTGGTCAGTGATGCACGAAAGAAGAAAAAGAATCGAGGGGAAGGGTCTGGGACCCCGATGTGGCCCTTCCTTGCCCATTACTTTGCGCATTGATGCGACTCTCATCGGTGCTGCCCTCTTCAACGCTGACGCTCTCTCTGCTGAACGGCTAGAGACTCAGACACGAGAAGACGCGAGAGGGGGCCGTAATTTGACCGCGAGGAAGGCCTAGATAGCTAGATGGCCTGACCGCCCGGGGCATATCCTTTAATGCGAATTGCATGTCGGTCCGCACCCTCAAAAGGTAAGTCTGTCTGTCCATTAGGAGTTTTCCCTTCTTCGACCTTGGTCCTTATCATGGACTACTCTCCGAGGGCAAAAACCCTCAAATTTCAAGGTGAAGACTCCACCTAAGTAAGTGGTCGAACTCTGATGCACTTTCTATTTATGTACTCTTCCCAATCGATTACACAATCTGAACTTGAAGAGTGGTTCGGTGCTCAATGTAATGCTGTGCTCCAATTTACAAAGCTGCGAAACGCCAATGAACCTTTGATATCTTACATACGGTGCTGTGTCGGGGTTCCTTTTGCCTGGGATGCATTCTACCATACCCTACTCAGTTGCCAACTTGAGTTTGTGAATGACGTGAGATGGTCTGACGGTTCTATTCAAATATTATTTTTTAATCTAATTGCCATCAGTTGCAGGTCGCTTAGACGACGAAGATGGTCAGCTCTACAGTAACCTTTGCGGGGGGGGGGGGGGGGGGGGGGGGGGGCGGGCTGCACCTGAGAATGGAGTAGTGTATCAACGGCGGATAGAGCGGCTCTGGAGACTTACACATGTTATCGAAACCCTCATTATGAATTTTTTCAAAGAACGGCAATCTAAAATATTTCCTGAATTCGAAATAAAGAATTCTGGAGCAAAAATGGTGGCATCAATTTTTCGTATCTGAGAATTTGAGGACAAAGCTTAGAAGTTTCAAAGAAATTTAAGGGGCGGAAGTGGTGTAGTGGCAAGTGGCACGCTTACCACGCGAGCGGTCCGGGGATCAAATCCTGGGTCGTGAGTCGCCCGGGCCAACCAAGCCTTCCATCCCTCCGGGGTCGGTTAATTGGTACCAGACTTGTCTGGGAGGATAAAAACACTGACTTGTACATCGGCTGGCCCCCGCAAGTCATTGTATAGGCCACATCGCATTCAAACGCCACTACGAATGTACAAATGGAAGTAGAATGCGTGCCGCATCCCAAAAAGGGATTGATCAACGGCAAATGCTTTATCCTTTTCTTTATCTTTTCAATCTAGCAGCCTCCGCTTGGAAATAGACAGTAATATGAAATCCTAACGCTTATTTACTATGAATTAAAAATGAAAAGCAAAAAGGTATGCATGTATAGAATAGAGTGAAGTGATTAAAAATATTTTGCACCAAGAAGGTTGAAGAAGACACGTCACAAGGAGGGGAAGGAGGGGGGGGGTCGTATTGGCCCGCTGGGAGGAGAGATCGGGCCGGATTGATGCAGTAGGATCATCACCGTCGGAGGACAAACATCAAGGATCGAGTCGATGCCAGGCCAGAGGATTTCCAATAACAATGATATTCCACCCACACAAAATCTTTCGTGATTCTGAGGTGTCCGCTTAGCAATTCTTAGTTACTTCAGTGTTTTATCACCACACAAGTTAAAGAATCTGAAATTCGCACGTTTTCCAAGGGATATTTTATCTTTCAAGTGAGTCCTCAATCTGAAGGGATGTGAAGCACACGGCGCATCCCAGAGTGGGCCCAGTTGGTTGCGCGCGCTTCAACTACGGCTCTCTGAGAAAGAATCAATTCAGGAAAAATCAAGAGGATTCTGAAAGGGTTCATGTGAAATTACAGGGAGGAGTACACCATTCAACAAGAAACGCAGCCTTCAGCGTCAAATTCATAAGCATGTAACCTTTAAAGTTGAGATACGCTAAACAATTTTACACTTTTGGAAAGAGAAAAGCACGAGGATTCCGAATCTGCTCCTACTTTAGTATATAATCGCCCCAAAGGAGCTATAGCCGTTGAAATAGTGCCAATGTAGCGAAAAAGTACCTTTCGGCGGTACTCGGGCAAAAATCCTCAACGTGGCCATTTTTTAAAAGTGGACGTATTTAGCAGTTCTAGTGATCGCTGAGTAGTGCAAATTATTAGAAACAGCTCTTCACAAAACTCCCAAACCTGTTTTCAGATTGAAAATTCTATTTGAAGAAGGTCATATTTGAAGAAAGTTGTAATCATTTGAATAAAAAAAGAAAAAATAAGAATTTTGGTTTGTCTTCTCTCGCGTCTAGGAGAAAGCGGAATGATCTACTGTTCTTCCACAAGCTCATCCACAATGATAATTTCAAACTTGAAAGCTTTGTGTCGCTTAGGGCATCTGTTACACGTGGTGGTACTATCAAATACAATGTTGGTAGAGCTAAGCTAAATTGTAGACGTTATTTTTTTACCCATAGAACTGTTCCTTTGGTCGAGAAGTTGAGCAAGATGCAACCAATGTCAATACGTTACAACGTTCTCAAAAAGACTTTAGACAAATGCCAGAGTTCATTAGGCCTTGCATGATAGTCGTGCTATTATTTGTTTTTTTTTGTAATTTTTATTCACAATTTTGTTCGCTGGAGTTGTTGGTTTTTTTTGAATAATTGTTCGGAGTTTGTTTACACAGCTTCGCTTGTGTAATAAATAATAATAATAATAATACGTTGTAATCCTATATGTGTTCAAATTTCAATAGTAGATAAGCTGCTCCACGGCCAACGCCAAAGATCAGTCAACACCAGCTGGCTAAGGCGGTTACAAGGCTTCTTTCAACTGAAAGGGGGACGTGTAAATTGAGAACCATACTCTGTGTAGTACTAGAATTTGGTAAGTCTTGTGAAGGAAATAAATAAAGAAGAGATGTTGATGCCATTTTTAGTGACTAGTTTGTCGTTTTTGCTCCATTAATAATCATTTGTTTGACTTTTTCACTTTTTGTACTTCTTAACGACTTTTTTGGTGGACGGTGGGGTAGCAGGGCTTTTTTATGAACAGTTTTGGGGAGAATTAAACAACCTTTTCATAGTTCGGCTTTTGAAGAGGGTCGTTTCATGGACTTCGGCCTTCGGGGAGAGGGGGGGGGGTCGTATTTCCAAATTTTCCTCGACGCCTCGCTTGACCCTGCTAACGCCCCTCTACCAATGATGTTCAAGACGTCATCAAAACCACACCACCCTCCAGCCATCATGACTACTTCCTTTAGTGTGCAGGCGTTCCGATCACGACCATTCCGCAGGTTCACATTTTCGCAGCTCCTACAATATGTTTACACTGCCCAGGCCAAGTTAACCATCTACGAGTAGTCTGTAACAATCAGATAGTGGCGAACATCCGCAACTCAGTTCATAGACCATGTAGATATCCCAGTGCAGCAGGATTTCGAGTAGAGGTCCGAAACGAGGCGCACCTTATGGTGACTGTTCAGCGCTGACGATTTCGTCTTCACTACCACAATAGTTATGGATTTACTTCTTAAAGTGTGAGTGTCACTTATTTTCCTCAGTATCTAAGAAAACTGAACAAATATACGAAAATTTATTATACTCCGGCAACTACTATTTCATTGTGGCAAAGAAACAGTGCACAAGTACAGTAAAAAATAAAGAATATCCGAGCAATATACGGATGCTTTATCAGTGATTGTCAGAACCTCAATGTAGCACCAAATACAAGTTTATCAAGCTTTGATCACATGTATGCCACCGACATGCCGGCGCTCCTACAGTTAGCACCTGTAGGTTTTCAAGGCGCTTCTGTTTGTAGCAGAAACTGAAGACCACTCTTGAAGTAAACCACACAGATCGCTATACAGTTCACCATTCTCCTCGATGCTACCTGCAAGCAGTAGACATTCGGAAA